TCACTATTAATTAAAATGATATTGCACAGATACCTTTAATTCTTAAATTTAACTGGAAAACAAATTTAACATGTACCTTCTAAAAGGATAAAATTTAGAATAAATCCAATTATAAAATGCAGACGTTTAATGATCATTCCACAAGTTCTTGGTATATTATTTTGTTAAAAATATGAACAATATAAATTTGTTTTCTGGCCTCAGATTATTTAAAGGTACATCTTAGTTTTGTGAAGACATATAATAATCAAAAAGGAATTACAGATGTGATTATTTTTATCAGAAATCCTCCAGAAACAGCCACTTAGTGAAATTTTTTTAATCTCAATTAAAGAAGACTTTTTTTAACCTGAAGCCAAATATTTATATAGATATAAAAGAAAGAGATAGGGTGGGGAGGAGGAAGGATGCTTAAAAAGTATTAAATTAGCCATAAGAATTTGGGGAACAAACCGATGCAGTTTCTGGATTTAAATAAGATTAATAATCTTAGAATTCCATGATGTCTGTAATCATACGGTCTCTCATTTTTTCCTGAGTTTTGGGGTTCTTTCTTTGAGCTTTGATATTGGGCTTAAGAGTTTTCCCTCTTAAGACCCCCAGATTTGAGCATTTCATTTAAGATCACAAATGGATCACTGAGTCGGCAGCTGTGTCATATTCTGATCACTGTTCAGCTGCATTGTGAATTGCGTTACTGCCAAACTTGTGTCCCTACTTCAGTCATAGAAGTTTGGAGTATGAAGCTGTGTTGGGACCCCAAGAGTTGTGTGTGCATGTGTGTGTGTGGTGTGTGTATGTGTGTTTGGCAAACCAAACTTAAAACTATTACTGTTTGAAGTGCACTACAAAAATCACTGAATGCCCTACTGCCAATTAATCTGGCCATTTTAGCTACATCTCTGGATACACCACCACTTATAACTTAACTTTTTTTAACTTGATTGCCATACCAACATTGTAAATAAGATTTTAACTTTCTGAACACATTAAGTAGTCTTTTTTAAGTTCAAAATAATCACAAAAATTAGTTTATTGATTTAAGAACAAGTAAACTTCTTAAATGGCTTATATCAAAATAAATAGCTTACAGAATATGTGATATCATTTTAGGAAACACATTAAATCAGGATCAACAAAATATTGGGTTTTTAAAATTAAGTGACTGAGAATGGACCAGGAGCTCCCAATTTGAGAAAAACAAATACTTTGAGCTATTTATGAATTCCAGTACATCTACACTTGACTTTTCTTTTTGTTCTCTGCCTTAAAATTTTTAGAGTGGAAAAAAACCCCTTGTATAATTTAAATGCATTATTGGGAAAATCAATGAGACAAGCTTTGATAAAAATGTCATTTGTCAAATAGAAATTCCAAAATTGATGGTATTCAGGAGGATTTGTTTACACATGTCCAAAACAGGGCTACTTCCAGCATAATTTAAATCAACCCTCTTATTTATGAAACAAGATATTAATGAAACTAGAAGTCATATTTTCTTAGTTTACTTAGTTAATGAATTACCTTACACCAAAAAGAATTAGAGACAGTTTGAATATTATAGTTTAATACACTTAGATTATCTCTTCAGTAAATAGACACAAACATATGTAAACTTTTGTTGTAAATGTGTTTGTCCAAGAAAACTGATTGTCCCATTAACCTCTTAATCAACTTTTATTATAATTTGAAAATGCTTTGATATTCTATTTGATTTTGAACATATAATGACTAATTTTTTCAGCATACTCAAATTACAAAATCAAATCAAACCACTAAGATGTCTTCTGTAATAAGCATAGTGTCTTCACATTTAAGAGTATGAATCTTAGAGATTCCTAGATAAATTTTCCTTCTAAAGCCAGCATTTCCCCAAATGTATTTTTGAGAATATTTCAGCGAGACATTAACAGGTAATAGGTGGGGGGGGGGTGATTTCTGTGATCAAATAATTATTCTTTATTGCAGAATTTTCACTGTTTATATGCAGATTTGTAGTGTAAATCTGAAAGAGAGAGAGAAGATTGAACAAAAGCTGCCTCTTTAACACTTTCACTTATTTTCCTTTTATAGAGTACAGCATTGGACATCAGAGTGGAAAGAATGTTTAGAAATTACATGTTCTGTTCCCCAAGCAGATAGTGAACAGCAGCTCTTCTACTTGCATTGATTCCTCTAAATTGTTTTTCATTCCATGGGGAAAGAAAATAAAAGACTGAGCTTGGTTGAAACCGAAATAATCTATTGAAAATATTATTTCTGAGTTATTTTCCTTAGAGAAAAGGACCAGCAAAGAAAAGTCAACTTGCTGGTGAAGAATCCCCTACGGTGGATCTCTTTATCACTAGGATACTTACCTCTCTAAGGATGCTATTATCTGTGGAGTGTTTGGTTTTTTTTTTGTTTTTTTTTTTTGTAAGACTAGATTGATAAAAATGTAGAAAGGAATGGAAGACTTCGTATGAGCCAAATAATTTGAGAGAGAGGCATGTCTGGTTACTGTTTGTCCTAAGGATTAGCCTCCTAGGAGAATTTAAAATTATAAGTTAAAAGTATATTTACCCCAAGTTTGTTGACTGTGTATCCGCTAAGATGGTCCCTTGAGGTTTCATTGGTTAAGAATCTAACAAAGAATTTTTCCATTTAGGGACCATCTATAGATGATGATTGAGTCTGGAGATAAGAGATGTGTTTGCAACTGGAATTTAGTTGATAACATATTTAAATGGTGGTATCACTCTCTCTATTTGCATCTTTGTTTGCTTATAGCAAATACAGATTGATATCCTTCTTAGATCCCTCCAGTGATCTGTTAAATATAAAGGATGTTCCATAAACCTGATTCTACAAAATCTTTAAACCATTACTAAGGAGAAAGGCTCCTTTGCAAGGCAATATTAAACCAATATGCTTTAACACAGGCAAACTATGGCCCATGGACCAAATCCAGCCCACTGCTTTTTTGTAAATAAGGTTTTATTAGAATAGCCACATTCATTTTTGAATGCATTGTCTGTAGCTCCCTTCATGTTACAATGGCAGAGTTGCAGCTGAGACCGTACCGTCTGCAAAGCTTAAGATATTTACTATCAGGCAAAAATTTGGCAACTTCTGCCAGTATATATCCCATTACTACCTAGTAATTAGAAAGAATTTAGTGTAGCTACATAGGGAGTTGATGTCCAGAAAATAATCTAAATATTAGAAAATGCATATCTATGTATGTATGTGTATATATCTATATGTATGTGTATATATGTATTTATATATATATGTATATATAAAATGTGTTTAAAATTCTTTGTCTGTTAGTGCTATTCATATTTAAAATACTATTTTGCTACTATGATATCAAAATGAAACTTTTTTAAAGAAACTTTCCAAACAGTCAATTTAGCTAATTTTTTGATGCTGGGATACCTTTTTTGTTCCCTTGCCCTTGGAGAAAATAAACATATTTACCTGAGAATATCTCTTGAGGTACAAACAATTCCAAAATTGTATTTTAATAGACTAATAGACATTTATACTTGACTGTATTTCACATTCATATCATGGAGGCACTCACTTGATTTTGTATATCATTCAATTTATATTAACATTATATTTATTTTCCCCATTTTATAATTTGGCACAGAATCAATTAATCAAATCATACTTAAATTTTGACTCAAACAAATTGCCTCACTTTATTGAAGAGTTGATTTAAATTTGCTGTTATACTTAGAGGTCATATAATGTAAGCTCTTTATACATTCTTTTATTCAAAATTTTCTTACTCCTTTTTGAAATTTTTTCTTCCCTTTTTATGTTATTTTAATTAATCAATTTTTACTTAAAATTTTTTACTAACAAGAGTTATCAGATTTACAGGGATATTTTCTTCAAGATAAGTATTAAAATACCTATTTTTGAATAGGTACACTTGTGACTAGATATCTTTACTGCAGTTGTAAAGTTATGGTCTTAAGCAAGGGGTATGTATGTGTGTGTTTACATTTCTACCAACACCCAGTGCTTGTGAATTTACATGACAACATTGTGTTATAGATACCCCCTTGAGCCCGCTAAGCTATGATTGTTTTTCCCAGTTTGTACAATAGATATTTTGTTTTTCCATTATGCATGAGAAATGCAATTTTCTTATAAAGTCTCTTCAATAAAATTCATAAATATACTTTTAAAGCACTTTTTCATGTTTGCTAAGATTTGCTACATGAATTTAGTTCTTGTTCTAAACAAAGTTTTTCAAGACCCTCTTGATATCTATAAGTGGTGTGTTTTGAGGTAGCACCTGTTATAGAGAACATTGATCTCATTTTGTGATAGCCTTATCATCTCACTTTTCACCCCCTACATTCTTTTCTTTTTTTTTTTCTGAAATGATTTCAGTAATAATTTGTGCCTTTAGTGGTATGGTATGTTCTCAGAAGTATTTTCCAAGTACCTCTTTCTTGATCCTAGCTCTAGAAAATGCAAGTTCAAAAGATCTTGATAACTGCCTCTACATGTATGCTGGGACAACCTGCTTTCATACATGGGCTAATTTTGTGATAATAGTTTCTAAATGCAAATGTAAAATTGTATTTGAAACTAATTAGACATAATTTTTTTCCAGTAAATAAATCAAATCTTGATGAATTACAAATCAAAGTTCTTATAATATTACTATTGTCAAATTTATGTGCTGTCAAATATATTCTCCTGGACGTACATGTACCAGAAAATGTTTTCTATCTAACAAAGATTTGTTGTCTTCTGTTTAAATTTGTTTAGATTTTATTCAGATTAAAATTATTTTACATATTTAATAATCATGCTTTTATTCACCAAATTGCATACTTTAAATAAATCTAAAAAATAATATGACGTTTAATTTGGGTATACTACCTTGAATGAAGGTAATATATCAGCCTAGCATTTCTTCTTTTATACATCCTGTAAGTAGGGCTCAGATAAGAACTGAACATTAATTTTATGGGTTTTTTTCTACTCGATAGGTGCTATGGATATAGAGGAGAGAAATCGCCAAATGAAAATTAACAAATACAAACAGGTAGCCGGATCAGATTCCAGACTGGAACAAGATTACCATTTGAAGGCAAGACATTTTTCTTTTTAAAAGTTGTAAAATGATCAATTAATCATATGAAACCATTAGATTCTCTTAAACTGCTGAATGCAGATTAGTCAGACACAAACATATAATGCGATGGCCCCATAATATTATTAAATGCTAAAATTTATAATGTGTTTACATACCAACTTTTAGGTATGGAATTTGCCTTATTAAAAAAATGGTTATATTAGGTAGGAGATTAAAGAAATAAAATTCAGAAATGGTCTGAAGAACAAATCTTTTAGAATTTTTCATTTTATAAAATCTATAAATGTCCTAACACCCTCAAAAATGTTTAGGAAGAACTTCTATTATCTTCTTATGGGTTTCCTACATATAGAATTTTTTTATTTTTTAATATTCTAGTTGAATGTGGTTTACTAATGAGTTATTAGAACAAAATACATATTCATGAGGTGTTGTAAGGAGTTCAAAAGGTTTTTAGTCAGAATCTTTTTGAACTACTTTTTGCAAATAAGTTAAAGTATGAGTGTTATTTCGTTGTTCTTGCCCTTCATTGCCTTTATATTTTAAAAACGTTTTTAGTTTCATGAGATTATTCATGGCCAAAATTGTGAAAAGACTTTGTCCTGGTGTACTTATTTCAGCTTTAATAAAAGAATGAAAATAGTAAAACTTACTCATAGCATTTAGTTATTATGTGCTCTCTGACTTAGTGATTTAATCATTGAAATCAAGTAATATTTGTGGTCTGTGTATCTGTGTGTTAGAGAAAAGCAGTCTGGATTTTTATATACTTAGGTCTATTTTGTCCTTACCTACTAAACCTTCAGTTTCTCCCTCTCATATTCCATTCTTCAGTACAGTCAGGATTCGTTAAATAAACTGTAACTGGTTATGTGGGGTATACACAGGTGGTAGGTAGCATAGGTTTCTAGTTTCTCCACTATACAACCCAAAGGAGGCAGAGGTTCTTACATCAGTATCATCTTCCAAACCACCAATCTCTTCCCCAAATTACATAAGTACTGACATGGTGACTATAGAACTGTCCATCACAGAATTCTAGTGTACTGCAAATGACACAGGTCTAAAGCCAAGAGAAAGGTAAATTTAAGACAAGCGAAAATAGCCTTGCTTTTCTCTGCGGGTTCTAAACTTCTAGAAATTTTTCTCTAAAATGAGAATGTAAATAGCTTCAAATAGGTTCAGCGAATATCGTAGAAAATAGTTCTGTAATGATATAATATTTCAGATACATCCCTACCCTTTTGAACTTGATATCAGAAGTGATATCTCTGCCTTCCCAAGCACTTGTTTGGTATTTCTGCCTAGGGCTAAATAGGTGGACCTGATCTTTTGTGGCATCTGTTATGCTCTAATCTCTCAGCTATTCATTTTATATAATCCAAAGACCAAGGCATAAAGTCCTAATAAAATAGGATATTAAAACGTCTGTAAACATGTCTTCAGATGACACAAATTTGTTTTGTTTGTTTATGTCCCACTATACTTCAGGAAGGAATGTAGATATTTTTTAAAAAATACATATAATACTCTCAATAATATTGTCAATGAAGAAATGAGTATCAAGGGAAAAACGAAGTCAAGACAAAACAAGGTAACACCAGAAGTAAAGTTTGTGAACAAAATGCGCAGTGTGAGCTTCTACACACCTGCTACATGTGGGGCATATAGTTTGACCGAGAGCTTCCTAATGAGCAGCAAAGGCAGAAAGGGAAACTGAGTCAATTGTATGATTTGCATTCTTCATACGATAAAAACAAGTTCCTTAGGTATAATACCAATGATTCTTGTTATGGATACCTGGCAGAAATTTGTTATAGGAGGACAGACCAAAGGAATACTATAGACATGACTCAAAATTTTTTTTCAGAAAAACAAGTTTTGATTTCATTCCAATAACTTTGACACCAATTATTTTAGGTTAGAAAAACTTAAGTCTTGGCAAAAGACTAATTATAGTAAGCAATTTAATTTCCTAGGTATTCTCTAAGGTAGTGTTTTTCAAAGTTAGTCCCAGACCAGTAGCAGGAAGATCACCTGAAAACTTTTGGAAATGCAATTCTCTGGCCCTTCCAGACCTACTTAAAACTCTGGGTTTTTTTTCCCAGGCCCTGCTGGAGTTATGCATGCAGCTGAACCAAAAATGTAATCAAATCATTAAGATACAACATCTTTTCCCCATCATCCCTAGCTTGGTCTTGCTCTGTCATGGGTCAAAGAGAAAATTACAGAGGATTCTTTTTCAGTCAAGGGCATATACAGATTTAGTTATCATTAATTTCCATACTAACAGTTCCTTAGATTAAAATTTTCAACAGCATCTCTCTCTTTTTAATTAGGGATATTTAGCTTATATTTCCATTCTTTCCTTCCTGATTTCAATAACAAGATGCCAATTAAAGGCTTGCTATTGAGCTATGTGCTTTAATACATTAAATCTAATTCTTGAAAAAAATCATTTAGCATATGAGAGAACCAGGATATATAGAAAGGTTAAGTAATTTACCCAAGTTCATGTAGCCACTAAGTCATGGGAAGTATTCTTTGGAGCTAATCTGGTTTTCAAATTTGAGATAACTGAGATTAAATCCAAAGCCTCAGACATATGGAGCAGGTGCTGTACTTCTATATTCCTGAAATTCCTGTGAAGATATTAAGAAGCTTTGATGGAATCTAATTCAGTATTAGTGGAGTTTTTTTTAAACTACACATTCCACATTTTAAAGGGCATTGCCTCCCTGAATTTCTCAAACCTTTTGCACTGATAGCTGTAAACAATTCTTAGTAATTTTAAAAAAATCTCCTTAGTAACTCACTTTGAAAGCATCTGTAGAGCAATGCCTATTAAGTTATTATCTTTCTAAGAATATTTTAAGTATACTAGGAAATTTGAAAGTAGAGTCTATATTTAATAAGAGCAGGAAAAGACACGTGCAGACATGATTTCTATTTAATCAGTGGATGATTTCTCAAGGGTTTTTCCCTCAAAACAGAATTTAACTATGTAGCCAGTGCACCCTTTCATGCCTATTGCATTCTCTTCATCCCAGCTTAAATGTGATTCATCTATTTTACTCTTGGCAAAAATTTAAGGATCAACTTTTATTTTTTCTATGAAACTAATATTCTCTGCTGTTCATTGGTTCAGAAAAATGTGATTTGTCTGTTAAATTCAACAGTGCAAATTATAATTCAGCATAGGCCAACCATCCTGTGAGTTATATGGTGATTAATTAACATAATTAGCAAGAATTGAAAATCAAACAATATGCATATATATATAGGAAAATTAATATGGAGAATTTGATAATGTTTATTTAAATATATGATGTTTATTTTTTAAATTAGACATATTTTATATTTTAAAATGATCCCAGGAGATATTTTTTAAAAGGGTAGTCCATCATATTTCAACAGAGAATGCCATACAGTTCATTGGTACAGTATTTATTTGGAACTCAAAGGTTATTTCTTTGTAGAAACAATGCTCTTATTTATTTATTTATTTATTCATTTTTTTGTGAGGAAGATCAGCCCTGAGCTAACATCCAATGCCAATCCTCCTTTTTTTTTTTTTTTGCTGAGGAAGATTGGCCCTGGGCTAACATCTGTACCCATATTCCTCTACTTTACATGGGATGCTACCACAGCATGGCTTGACAAGCGGTGTGTCTGTGTGCGCCCAGGATCTGAACCTGCGAACCCTGGGCTGCCGAAGTGGAGCGTGTGCACTTAACTGCTGTGCCACTGAGCTAGCCCCAACAACGCTCTTTTTTAAATGGTGGTAATGTTCCCACAAAATCATCACAAAAATATCTTACCCCTATTGTTACTGCACAAAGGGCACTATCTGCTCACTGCAAGACAAAAGCCGATTGTCAAGAGGCAAGGTGGAAAAGAAAGGGCAGTTTATTAGAGTTTGCTAGCAAGGATGAAGATGGCCAACTAATGTCTGAAAGAACCATCTTAAGGGGGCACAAAATTTTACAGCAGTTATATAGGCTGGTGGGTGATAGGGGAGGGGGTTAGGAATGTTGACCTTCTGGTGTTACAGACCGGGAGTCGCCACACCAGATCTTTCAGTTTTCATTGATGCTGGCTATCAGCATAGACTCTCTGTTCGGGGGTCATCACATTCCTAAGGAACTCAAAAGAACAAAGTTATCATCTTATCGCAGCTGGGAGGTACTTGCACAAGGAGGGGTCATAAAATCTGCAGAGCAGTTAGATCTCCTGGAGGGCGCAGATCCAGCTGGGTTAGTTTGTCAGAGGTCATTCAGAATTACAATAGGGCTTCTTTTCTACAATATGGCTTCCCGCATGTCAACCTAGTGTTGGGCCGGTATCACTACTATAGCACATATTTATATTATATTACAATTTTCTTTTTTCTTATTTATCTCTCTAGAATTAAGTAATATAGCCCATAAGTTGCCCAGAATTTTTCAAATGTGGACCAGAAGTCAATACTAATCCATTTAACCCAGAATCTGATAGACTGAGTTAGTGTTCTGGCAACAGAGGACAATGTGGGAAAAGAAAGAGTTTTTTCCCATTCATCGTGCATGCCTGATCCTAGGTACTTGTCACCTTTTCTCCCAGGCTTCTTGTCTTTTAAGGACCCATTCACCAATATCAAAGAGACATATTGGGAGGAAAGCAATCCAACTGAAGTAATTTACCTTATAATATGAATAACACAACACAGAAATACTTTCATTTTTTAAAGAAAGCCCTATAAATACAAACTCACATGATGGAATTGTAAGCAATATCAATATAAAAAGTTCCAGAAAGTTGAAGACAAAGTATTTTTGGCAAGTAGATTGCCACTGTTAACTACATCATTCCCTTTATTAAAGGTTATTCTGTTCTCAACACTGAGAATACGCATTCAATGCCAGGCTTAAGTGTTTTAAATTGACTTTCAAGAGTCAGGCAATAGGGACAACAGAAGAGGAGAGACAGGCTGGGGCTGGTTAGGAGTGGCCAGA